AGAAGTCGCAGCATTTGTGTTATACTTGTTTTCAGATTATCTCCAAATGTAAAAAATGGAGTAAGATAGATCCATTTCAAAATACTTGTGACTTCACAACACCTCTGTGTACAGGCCAGGAAAGTTACACCTGCTTAATCCACACTGCATAATGTTCTTTCATGAAGTGTTTCAATAGCTCCTGCTATTTGAGAAAACTATACTCAGGTGTCAGGAAACCTGATTGAAAATATGTACAATAAAATTCCTAGGGCAGTCTGTGAAAAAGACAGTGTAGTTCAAGTAACATCACACGTTTAAAACTGCAAAAGACACTTTGAAACCATGTGCTGTGTAATGATCAAGGTGCTAAATCATGTGTCAAAGCTGAGGGATCTAGTTTCTCTGAAAAGTGCTAATATTTTTTGATGCTGAATAGAAGCTGTGCTTAAAAGAAATCATCAGAAAGCAGAAGTCCGTTTATGAGAGCATTAGTGCTTCAGATGTGGTTTGTCTACTTAGCAGCAAACCCAGCCTGTAGCAAACATATTTTGGACATAAGAAACAAATCATCTTATCTGTGCCCAAACCTCACATAATTTGCCTTGATAGTAAAAGTAACCAGTGATTAAATTCCTGCAACAGTGAAGTTGGTAAAAAGTGATATGTCAAAGAGAACTCACTGTTTAATGGTTGGTGCCCTTCTGTTGGAAATGAAGGCTTACTGCTGCTTCCTGGCCAAATCTGAAATGCATTAGTCATTTCAGTGATTTGAACTTCATCCAAGACTTCCTCAGAACTGTTCTTAATAATCTGTCTGTGCTGTCTTGCTCTTGGAATTGCCCCAGAATGTCCCTGCAAATCTGTTGCACCTAATATACCTGGTGTCCATAAGACAACCAGTATTTTGATCTGGTAGCTCACTAAGAACCTGTCTATACTGTGAAGAGATGGACCAATTACTCACCATTTCCATAAGAAGAAACTTCATTTCCATTCTAGGAAATGGAAGCTACTAAAATTCAGCTACAGACAGAAAGACAAGTAGAGCTGGAATGGCAACTAGCAGCATTGGGACAGAGGGAATTAGGCAGGTTTCAGTCAAGACAACCCCAAACTGAAATTCTTTGACCCCTGCACAGTTGAGAATGAAGACCAAACTGGAGAGGCCAACAGAGAAAAGCCATCCACACAGCAATCTAGAGCCCACTGTACTTATTCTTACTATGGGGCCATTAACAGCTCCAGATCTTTCCTAGTACTGACAAATCACTTATTCAGGTGTAAAATATTCCCTGAGCTCTACTGAGATTTTCTACATAAGGCTTTAGTTGAATGTAAGACCTCCATTTTTGTCTGTTTCACTTTTGGTCCCTAGCAAGTGGGACACAGGGCAGCCTCTAAGTAGAAAAACTACATTATCAAATACATAAAAAGTAGTCTACAGTATCCAGTGGAGCACAATGCAGGCATTAGTGATAGAAATCCCACAGTTCTTGCAAGTGAAATTGCAGGATGCAATTTCAATATAGGTATATTGATCCATATGTTTTTGGGGTTTTTTAACTTGAGATTTCAGAGGAAATTTAGGTTGAAAGCCCAGTGTGTAACTTCAGTCCACTGGCTGACCTGAGATAGGTCACTTTAAGCCCCAAGCACTTGCAAAGTGCACAGATGTCACAGTAGCTTGTAATGAACTGTATTCCTGCAACCTCACTTAGCATCCTCTTCTTATTAGCCCAAATTTCAATGCCTGCTGGCACAGTGGTGCTGGGTAATTTTTTTTGTAGCAGAAATTTCAAGGTGTTGTGTTGGAGAATGAGCTCCTAGTGTTTTTTTGGAACACACATATTTCCTCAGTCTTCACTTCCAAGAGCTGGAATGAAGAGCAAGGCTTGCTCTTCATTTACTCTGTCACCGAAGCTTAAGAGGCCCACAAACAGGTAGTATGCTCTTATCAAAGGCCTACTCTGAGCTAAGTTCAGCTTTTCTAGTGCCAATTCAGACTCCAAGTATGTCAGCACTGTAGACTAGTGATGGATTTTTACTCCATTGTCTCTTTTCTCTAACAACATCCATCTCAACAAGCCACATGGAGGTCCTCAAATTTGAATTTTGTGGGGATTTCAAGAATTTTAGAAGTCTTCAACTGTACCAATACGACAGCAATGACTTTCCTGTCACTACAGTCCTTTGCAACTGGCAGCATTAAACTGTTATTAACCACAAAGCTTTGGCCATCTGAGGATCAGTTTACAGGGGGATATGTTTAAAACACAGCCACTCATTTCTGGCTTGATAGTTTTTTTCTGATTTGTGCATCCTTATCTGGGTTGGAGCATGCCCCTCATGCAACTGCCTAAAGCCTACCCCAGAAAGCATGGCAATGCACTCCTGGCACTCTGCTCCAATATTGACATTCAGCATGAGGAAATGCTGTAGTTATTAAAACCTGCTGTATCCACTTGTAATCCCTGTGACCTCCTTAACAAAGCCAAGCTGCCTTCTTCAGATGCCAGCTGCCCTACTGTACACCTCATCTCAAAATACGCTCTGAGGCTCTGAAATGAAAGCTGGATTAATGTCAACAATTAGAACAGGTCTGTAGAGTCTGTGTCTTACCATCTGTTAGAAAAAAAATCCTAGACAGAAATATGTAACACATAGGAAGGAAATGTTACTAAGTTGGTGGGCTGTGAGCACTTCAGCATAGGCATCTGGAAAGGAACAGGGTCTTTCCCAACACATAATGAAAACAATCCAGGGTAGTGGGTAGTGCCAGTTCATACGGCACTGTGAGCCACAGGATGTGTCCTTATGAGTCCCAGCACCTCATGTGAGGTGTGCACATCTGTTTGCAGTAATGAGAGGATGGCTTTCTGCAGTAGCTGCTCAAATCCACACTCAGCTAACCCACATACCAGGGAACACCTGCACTAAATTCACTAAGGGTGGCCCATCCTGATACACTCTGCAAAGACATGAGACTCACAAGATTTACTCTCCACACTCGAAAAACCTATCACATGACCTTTGTTTAAGCAATAGGACACACACAGTCCAAATCAGTGTTTAGTATGAGGATCTGGGTTCAGGGACCAAAACAAAGTCAGTAGCCAAAAGTCAAGCTGAAGGTCAGGGGAAGGGCTAGCAACAACAGGCTTCAGTTGTCAGCCAGCCCAGGAGCAACTGCAAGTTCTGGCTGCTCTTTCCAGCCAGCAAACCGGGGTTACTTCAGCATGACCCAAAACGGTTGCTTATTCAGTCATTCCTGCCAGGCCTCACTGGCAGGGAGGTCTTGTCCAAACCTAGGACCCAGAAACATGCTCTCAGTTTTCATTTGAGAAAATAAACAGAGGTAGGGTTTCAAACTGTGGGTGTTAAACGCCCATGAAGAACTTGCACAGTACAGGTCATCCTCCCTTCTCGGCTTGAAATATTCCACATGAAAATCTGGCAGACCATATCTAAGCAACAAACACATTTGTCCCACTGTGGGATCTATTTTGAGGCAATACTTAACCAAAGGAGGGCTCAGTCTGAGGAAAACATTTTTTCCCAATCACTAGTACTTGCAGAAGCAATTTCCAAACATGCCTAATGTTGAACAAAATCTGCTATTAAAGTGAATGTCTAAATTCATGGGCATCAACGGAAGCCAATTAAGGGCAGACAGAAAACACACTTGACAGACTCTCCCACATAATTCCCTGTGTTGGAAACAGCATAGAAAGTTTAATATCCAATAAAGTTAATATGAAGAAATACAGAAAGTGATCATCCTTTCAGCTTCTTGCATTTTGTAATTCTCTTCTTGCAAACAGTAATCCTGTCAAATGTCACATCAGTTTTTTTTTTTAATTTTTTTTTAATGACAGGATACTTTAACATCCATTACTAATATCTCTTGGTATGCAAAGTATGACCATGATACAATGCAGGAAAACTTCACAATTCAGAGAGGAAAATGATTGCATGCAAACCTCAAAAACCTTTTCCACTTGTCTATAGATTTGTATGAATTAATTTCTTTAGAAGAGGCTTGCAGATTGTGGACAGTATTAATATGTTCCCCTTCAGTGGAAATTGAGTGATGAAATCAATTACATCACAGTGCAACGCCTTTAGGAAGCTAAACTAATTTGATTGGCTTAAAATGGAATTATTCTAGATTTGTATAAATATATCTGAGAACAGAACTTAGTACCTATCTTTCCTTTAATTAGGGAAGTAGCTCAGGAAGTCTCATTGAAGCTGATGAAATACCCATTTGTTGTGTGTGGCACAACTGATTTGTTAGGTTTACACAAATTAAAGATGCCACTGAGGTTTGTCATGTACTAAACCCCAAGTTTTAATAAATGCTTCAAAAGGTTTTGCACTTCTCATGTTACACTTTGAAATGCTGCCAGAATAAGCATCATGACATTTTACAATAATGCAATTTGTAGGAAATTAAAAGATAAATTTGTTTCAGTTCTAAATTAAATCTACTAGCGTGAATTCTACATTTATTATAAAGGATAAGTACTCTCTTTTTTTTTTTTTCTGCCAGCTTTACTCATTAGAGCAAGGATGGATTAATTTAGAATAGGTGAACCCAAGTTTTATAGAAGGTTGTGCATGGATTTACTTGCAGCTCTGGAAATGCCCAATAGAATAGAATTACAAGCAACAATACAAAATCCAGCTTTTTTCAGAAGATGTGTGGTTAGAATAACCGTATTTTCTCAGGACAATTACATGAGTAAAAATTCTGATGGCAAAGATACGTATTCTTTGCTTCCTTTCCCTGCACTCATTACCTCACTGCACCTTGTCATCCTGCTCTGAAGCTCATGACTCTCTCAGGTAGGCCAGTGAAAGCTGCTTCTGAGTCCATACTATAGATCTGGTATCCCAATTTAAAATAAATAAATAAAATTACTTGACACAGAAAGAAAAAACCCAAAATTTCCACAGACTTGTGGTTGCTTTCACAGAATATTCTGAACTGAAAGGCATCCACAAAAAACATCAACTCTTTAGTGTGGGGATTGAACCCACAAACATTGTCATTATTAGCATCACGTTCTAACCAGCTGAGCTAATCTCAGGGTCTTCCTTCCATACATTTCTTTTTAAAGAAGACACTGGGAATTCTAGCTAATGTTCCAATTTACCCTTTCTCTTTAATTTAATTTAATTTAATTGTTTCATTTTCAGCTCTTTTCTTTCCTCCTCTTTTTGCCAGACCAGATCAAGAGGTTAAGCAGGCCCTCATACATATGCTGAGATTGAAACACAATCATGTGATAAGAACACAGTTTTTATTCACTGGGATTCCTGGTTCCTTTGCTGTAGAATATGACAAGTTTGTAGTGAAAAAGGGGATCTCAAGGAAGGGACAATCTTCAGTAAAGGAAGCCAAGTGCTCTCCCAGACAATCTTGATTCCACCACAGCAAACTTTCCTGCACGGAGATTGGCAAAACTTTTCCATATCATAATTCATTGCAACAAAGATGGCACATTAGCTTGTTAGATAAACATTCTTAGAGCCTTCTCATATGTATGGAATCCAAATACTAATACACAGAAGAGTGAAATCTAAGCCTTTCATAAATATCTCTCCATATTTTGTCTGGGTTTTTTGGGAAGTATAGCGAGATTTTGCTTCCTGGAAGCTTTTTTCCATGTCTATAGTTTGGAAGTATTCAGAAAACCACAGTCTAGCTGAGAAGTACACTATACATTTCCAATGTATTCTCTGCTGTTTGGCTACTAAACCCACCATAGAAAATGTAATTCTGTTTAGTAGCGTGACCCTAGTTCTCTCCAATAAATATGAGTCCATTCAGCACTGGCAGGATTCACTTTCTTGTTTCAAAGGTTTTCTACACAATTTTCTAAAGGAACTGAGGTATTCAGAGGGTATTTCCACTCAGTGGAAAAAAATCTTACTTTTTCATTTAAGTGTCAGTACTTTTTCAGCATCCAAATATAAACATGGGATTTATTTATATTTAGTGTTAATGCAATTTAATTTGTTAGTTTCTACTTTCTTGACTTATTTGCATAAACTATAATTCTTCAGCTCACCCTTCTTGCTGGAAATCAGTCTGTTATATGGCAAAATCTTCTCTGGCAGTTCTGCTTTCTGTTACTTCCAGACATCATTTTGGTTCTTTTCTTGCTGATCCTTCTGGTAGAAAATATTTCTTCTGTCACATGCAATTTTACTGTTAGTATCTCAAAAACTCTCTCTCAGGATATTCAGTCTGTAAGCTTTTGTGGGGAAGAGCTATTTGCTTCCATGAAATTTTTCTTTGCTCTTTTAAACACACACAACTAATTTCTTATTCTTAGAATATGGGAAAAGCTTATGCCAAGGAATTTCCCCAGAGAAGGGAACTTATTCCTGCTTGACCAGACTTGCAGCACACCCAAATTGGTATAAATCCATCCAAGACAATGACTGACTTATTGATAATTTGTATGGTGATAATCAAATGCATTTTAGTTTTATTATTTTATAACACAGGGAAGGTTGGTGAGTATGTATTATTTTGACCAGTTCATATATGTCATGTTAAATACCTAAGGAAGAGGGATCCAGGAACAAATTCAGAGGCATCAAAACCCCATAGTCTTACAGTTGTTTATCTTGGGGAATATAGGTGAAGGCTGGTTACCATAAAAGATTCTTTTCTGCACGACACCATTTCTTCTGCCTCAAATTGAAAGATTTATGCTTTACTTTATGACTGGCAGAGTCAATCATTGTCTAAAGGTTTTTCAGGAGGCCTTGATGTCTGAAAAAACCCAGACAATAATGATAATTTATACAAAGTGGAAAACTAAAGGGAAATAACTCCCAATACTTCGATAAAAAGATTATTAATGATATTCATATAATCTGTTATTCATATGGCTCTGTGCATGTTTTTAATCAAAACTGTTTTTTTCTCACTATTTCACATATAAGATGACAAAAATGGCACACTAAATTGACATTTGCAGGGCAGAACTAGGATTTTCTGAAGTTAGTTTTGCTCTTTTCAGATCTTATTCTCCAGTTCTGTCAATAAAGAAAGAAACCTCAACAGACTTGAACACAACTTTACAATCTGTCTGCTGTGGGCCGTGCCAGCATGCTGACTTTTATGCTTCTCTTAAGGAGCATAGATTCACTAAAAGCAATTATAACCACATGGGAACATTCAAGGCAAGCAAAGAAGAGAATGAATTAAAAATGAAAGAACATGGAAAAGTGTCTTGCACAAAAATCAATGGCATAAGCAACTTGTGTTTTGTAGGAATGAAACTGTGCAGATATCAACCACATCAGATAGTGATGAAAGGACAGCAAGTGACATTGCCATGCAGATGATGTGAAAAGGAGTCCAGCCAAATTATGTTTTCTGGATGAAGCCAGCAGCAAACACAATCATGCTGTGCTGTGCTGTGGTGTGACAACCTGTCACCCTTGTTGCACATTTATTTTTTGTTCTTTTCGATTGCAAACTAGGATGACTCAGCACATCCAACCTTTTTGATCTGCTTTAGGTATTTGGTACTTCTTGGGAGCCAAGTTTGACTATTTGCCCAAGACTACCCAGGTAGCATGGGTGAAAGTGGAAATCTGGGCACAAATGAGGAAATATGGTGAGGAAAGTGTGGTGGTAGGCCTTTGCTTCCTTTTGAAACCAATGATGGTCCATGCAATATCTGAGTCCTTCCAGAAATGGATGGAATTGAACATTCCATCATCAGAGGATGGACTGGAAATACTCCAGTGCCTGCTGCAGTTGTGAAAAAGGAAACACTATGTATGTATCTTAAGGAAATCAGAAAGTCCAAATAACTCATGGTCTAAGAGATTCTGGGATCCAAAGGCTGGACATAACTTTGCCTTCTTCACCCAAAGGTGAGAAAATGCCCATGTGAACCAGGTGTCTGCAAAGCAGTGTCTTTAGCCATTCCCTCTCACGACTGCTGGAAGTGGTAACATTCCTCCTTGCCCTCTCCAGAGAATGTGGCATTCAAGAAGTGTGAGGATCATTGAATATTCTCCCGCCCCGAGAAGGTTCTCACTCTCCATCATCAAAGAAAGAGCTCTAAACTGCCCAGGTGCACTCACAGTAATTCCTTCTTACCCTGCTCATGAATATTTAATTACTAAATGGAAAACTTAAACTGTTGCCAGCTAAATGATGCATTTCCCTCATTAGTTCTCCCCCCCCACCCCAAAAAAAACCTCAAACAAACAAACAAAAAATAATTGTAGGAACATAAGAGAATGGTGTCATCTCTTTTTTCTTTCAGGTAGGGAAAGATATGTGACTCAGAAGGACACCTGTGCCACAGTGGTGCTGAGAAGGGAGTTTAGCATGGAGACAGAACATTTATTCTCCCATTTTCCACATTTCATAGTAGTAGCAATGGACACATCTGTGTGGAATGAACTGGCTTATTCCAATTCCCTGCAGCTCTCCCAATTCCCTTTGTAGCTGTAGACCAGTGGAGCAGACCAGTGGAGCCTGGGAGCTTCACTTCAGGCTGTCAGCTGTGAGTAGCAGGAAATATCAACCCTGACAGGCAGCATACAGACCAAATAGACTTGAAGACCCAATCTTTGATTTCATTAAGGTTTACTTATCCATCTGTTAGATAACAAGTTTTTAAGTCTCAGGCTGATCAGTGGAAATATCTATTGTTAAGGACAATAAGAAGCAGAAAAGAAGACTTACAGAAATACTTATATTTGTACAGATCTCTTTTGAAATGGAAATGTTCTTGCAGCACTAGGAAGACAATAATAGCTTTTATGGCAGCTGGAAATTCCTCAAATAGCACTTAGGACTTTCAAAATTAGTAAAAAGTTCTCCTTAGACACTACACATAAAAGCCTAGCTCCTGGAATTCAGTGGGAGTTTCATCATTGGTTCTAGTGGAGTTTGTATTTCAATTCACAAGTATGAAGTCATAGAAATCAGAGATGGAAAAAGCTGCTTAATATTCAGACCAGACATAAAACCATGGGGATTTTTTCCTTTACCCCAGCCTTAACAATCAGGATGCATAAGGAAAAAGAAAACAAAATACTCTCCAGTTGGGAGGAGGATGATGCCTACTCATAAAATTTGAAAGCTTAGCAGATTTGATCTATATAATTTAAACTGATATCTACAGTCAGTCAGGTTTCCTAAAAGGGGCAGATAAGTTAGAGAGGGAGCGGGCATGAAAGTCAGGATATTTTTATTCATATCTTGGCAACTTTATGGAGCAATACAGGAGACCTTGTGAAGACAGTTGAGCAGGTAAGCTTAAAGAAGGTGGAGCAAAGTGCCAGTTATATAAAGTTATTGGAGTAGCAGACCACCTGCAGAGATATTTTTAGAAGTGTCATGGGCCCTGGCACCTTTTGATCATAAACAGGTCTGTCAATCTGTGAGTGCATTGTGACTGTCTGCTGTGTAGTGCCTCTGAAGGTCAGGTTAGAAGACACTGAAGAAAATGCCTGTAAATAATGCGCTTCTTTCCTTTTATGCCTGTTGAGAGTTCACTGGTAGGAAGATTTAGGAAACTTTTTTTCCGTATACTTATTCTGTTTGTTCTAATTTCTACTTCATTATTTCTAGTAATACGTCTTGGTATAGTCTTCTCAACCCCTGGTGATATATCACAAAATCTTCCTGAGATGGTCAAGCATAAGACAGATGGAAGATGGATGGTGAAATGGTGCCCTCAGAGGTGGGTGCAAGCACAAGAGGCAGCAGCAGCTCCTACAGATCCCCATGGCTGCATTACAATGCAGGTGGAATGCTGGTACCCTCTGTGTCATTCCCCCCACATTCAGGGATCGGCTCATCCCAGCAGTCTGCAAGCAAGCTCAGTCTTACTTCCAGTCAGCTGATTAGACAAAGCTGGGCAACTGCAGCACATCAGTAAAATGAGTTTTTCTTTCTTGCTTGCTATTTGTGATGCTGAAGAACATGAAGGAGGGCTTGTGTAACAGCAGAACCAGGTTGCATTAATGTATTACCAGTTCTACTCTGTCCTCATATCACATCCCTCTTGCTTCCAGTTTTTAAACCTGGTTGTTTTTCATTAGCT